AGAAAATGAAAAGAAAACTTGTTTTTTATTATCTGCCATCACGGAAACAATTTTCTTCTTGGTTCATTTTTCACCTTTGTGTGCTTGCATTGAAACTTAGCATGCATTTATAATGTGGTCGAGATAACTTTTCCCTTTTTTCATCTATCTCTTTTTTAATAATTTCTTTACTTATTTTTTTTATATTTAATTTTAAAAAATTATCAACTTATTATATTTCACTTTTTAATAAAAACTTCTCACGAAATCAATTCCTTAACCTATAATAATTTGTTTTAACACTTTTATTTTTATATTATATTTTTTAGCATTTATTTAATTTAAAAAATTATATCTTTTTAATTTTTACCCCGAAAAATAATCTTTTTTAAAATTACTTGGTTTTAAAATATAATATCATGAAAATACATCTTTGCCAAATAATTTGGTTTTAAATTATATGATGATGCTAATGTTAATATAAGAAAAACTTGCATTAAGGTTCCACCCAAGAAAAATAAATACAAAAAAATCCCTTGAATCATCAAATTAATCTGAAGTCCTAAAAAAGCTCATTATAAGAGATTCTGCTTGTTTAATTACTAAATTGCCCTCATCTTCTTCCTCGTATGATTTGCCCTCTTTTCTTTTCTTTCTTGTTGAGTTTAAATCCCTTAGATCATAGTGCTCTAATTCATGCAAATATTTTATTTCCTATATCTCTTGATCTTATTTCTCATCGACGTTATATCTTATGCCTCTTCTCTTGCTCTGTCATCTTCTTTGTCATACCCAAATCTGACTATGCTCCTTGATGCTCTATTTTTTGGTATTTTATGGATGGGTTGCTCTGTTTTGGATAGGAAGAATGAATATGATGAAGATTGTTGTGGTTAGAAACTCCTTAATAAACAGAGAAATGTATTGTTAATACTTGTCTTGATAGTTATTAATTATTACACCTTAAGCTATCACTGACTACTCCCTTGGTTATCAACACATACTACTAAAAAATTTGATATAAACTTATGATATAATCTCATTTCAATTTACATATTCTGATCACACATGATTTCAAGTTATATATGCTTATATGATATATTTTGGTTATAATTTCATATAATATCAAATTAGGAGGACAGCAATTATTGTAGGAGCTTAATTTGCTTAAATAGCTAGTTGTAGGGTCATGAATTGCTCCTATGTTTTTAAGTATTTTGTGGATGGGTTGCTTTGTTATGGGTGGGAATGAATGAATATCACGAAGGGTATTGAGGTTGCAAATACCCATGATGTGCTGAGAAAATGTGTTGCAAATACCCATGATTTGCTTAAATAGCTAGTTGTAGGGTCATGAATTGCTGCTATGTTTTTAAGTATTTTGTGGATGGGTTGCTTTGTTATGGGTGGGAATGAATGAATACTACGAAGGGTATTAAGGTTGCAAATACCCATGATGTGCTGAGAAAACGTGTTGTTAATACTTACCACGATAGTTGTTAATTATAGCACCTTAAGTTGTCGATGAACATCCTCTCCATTTTCGATGCATACTGCTAAAAAAAACTAATGTGGGAGGAGGATCAATTTACTTGACAAGAACTTCATCTTGAACCGAGACACTAAATGACTTTAAAAAAGCGAATGGAAGATTAACGACTATACCAATAGGATTCTAACATGTAAAGCTTATGAGAGTTGACGGGGGTAGAGACTTTAATGTTATTGCAATATATAAAATGTTATACTACCTTCGATCCTTAATATAAGACATTGTATGACTTTTATTTTGGTCCTAATTATAATACCCCAATCCACTTTGTCTCTCATATTTATACATTTTTTTCCAAGGTAGTTCATCTAATAATGATAGTTCTAGCTAATAAACTTGATTAGTAAGGATATCTTAGGAAAGACAATACCTATTTATTACAAATAACTAACTTAACTTATTTCCTTAATCTCCTTAAATTAGTCAATTAATTCTTATAATTAGGACCGGAGGTAGTATATTCTATTATAAAGTGAATGGTCATTTTCTGCAACTTTGCCATGTATTATATTCTTACTTTTCAATGCTTGTACTTCAACGTTTTCATGCTAAAAATCTAATATAAGTTTGCATAAAATGATACATTATGATATAATCTAATAAAATTTACATATTTTGAGATAATCAATTTTCGGTATAATATGATATGAAGTTTAAGTTATATATATTATGATATAAAATGAATTGTCATTTTCTACATCCTCACTTATCATTTCTTAAATCATCATTTATCAATCCTTGTACTTTAACTTGTCATTTTCTTGCTACCGTAGTCCAATCAATCTACCAAACCCAATTTTCTTCAACTTATCGACTTCTATTTTTTTGCCACAGCTTAATCAATCTATCAAACCCAATTTCCAATAAAAAAACAATATGCATCTTTCGAAGAAACCATTAGAATATTTTTAAACTGCTTGTAAAAGCAAAAGAACCACTAAATTCAACGGATACCCTAATCAAATGAACAAAAATTTACTTGGATACATATGAAATTATCACAAAAATGTAACATATAAGCATATTTAACTTAACATCATGTGTGATCGGAATATGTAAAATAAAATGAAAGTATATCATAGGTTTATATTGGGTTTTTTAGCAGTATGTATTGATAGTTGAAAGAGTCGGAGTTAACAACTTAATGTGTAACAATTGACAGCTATCATAGTAGGTATTAATAACAAATTTTCTTAACATATCACATGAGTTCTAACCTCAACAAACTTCATCATATTCATTGATTTCCGCCCATAGAAAAGCAGCCCATCCACAAAAATATCCAGAAACATAACAGTTTATGACTCTACAACCATTTGAGTAGATTATTCTCCTACAATTATAACTATGCTCTTGACTTGATATTTAATTGACAAGCATTCATCTAACTTCTCAGATTATACAAAGTTATAACTAAAATGTATCATATAAATGTATTTAACTTGATATCATGTGTGATTAGAATATCTAAATTCAAATGAGATTATATCATAAGCTTATATTAGATTTTTTAGCAGCATACATTGATAACGAGAGAGCAATAATTAATAACTTAAGGTGTAATAATTAATAATTATCACGGCAAGTATAACAATATATTTGCTCATTGCATCAAGTAGTTTCTAACCACAATAGCCTTCATCATATTCAATCTTCCTACCCAAAACAAAGCAACCCATCCACAAAATATAAAAAACATAGCATCAAGGAGTATAATCAGATTTGGATATGACAAAGAAGAGGAAAGAATAAGAGAACAAGCATAAGATATGATGTACAGGAGAGACAAAATTAACAGACGTTAGAGATGAAAGATTTGCATGAATTAGGGCACAAAAATCTAACTAAGAGATTCAAACTCAATAAGAAATAAAAAGAAAAACAGTGGATTGCATAAAGAAGATGAGGGCAATTTAGTAATTGAACAAGCATAATCTCTTACAATGAAGTCTCTTAGGACTTCAGATTAATTTGATAATTTCAAAAAACTTTTTTGTATTTAATCATCTTGGGTGGAATCTTAATTTAATTGTCCCTTGATATAATACATTGTGATATTTAATTTGGTTTTAAACATGATATATGTTTGTGTAGAAGGATATTTTAATCATTTAAATATTTACTTATTTTCTTTTATCCATCTAAATAAGAAATGTAATAGCATTTTCTCCCTTATTTTCTCTTCTTTTTATTTTTGTCTTCTCCCATTTTCTTTCCTTTCAACATTTTTTTTCATCCAAACTGAGCAAGAGCCTCTAACCTCTGATGCCTTTTGTTCCTTCATATGACATTTTTTAAAAAAAAAAACTCCTACTCTTGTTATTTATTGAGACATGGTGTTGATAAGGATGCCAACACAATAGATGCTACTTAGATGTGACATATCAACAATATTCATTTTGTCTCAATAATAGTAAGGACAAGATTATTAAATGGAGCAAATTAGAAGGACTGAGTTACTATGAGTCAAATTATAAAAATTCAATTACAAACTCAGTAAAACTATAAGGACTAAATAATTAATTTTTTTATTTCATCTTATTAACCCTAACCCTTACAATTTCATTCTCACTCTTCTCTCTCGACTCCCAACTCTCACCCACTTAGGGCTGCACATGAATAGGTTTGGGTAGGGCATAATCCTCGCTCGATGCCTAGCCGCAATGATCAATAGGCTGCATTTTGGAGCCCACTACCTAGCCTTGCCTAGTGAAAGCTCGAGTTATTTAGGGTAGGGCTAGGTAAGGTGGACTTCCCTGCCTATTCTAAGTGATAATGCAGGCTTTGTTCATATTATATGAAAATTTCCATCAAACCTAATAAATAATATTTTGATTTTTAAATGTATTTTATAATTTCACAATTTAAAATATTTTAAGAGAAAAAAATATAAACAATACACTACAAATTCATATATCTATTGGTACAATATGATAGGTCTTCCAACAATATTCATAATCAAATATATCAATAATTTAAATCTTGAAATATATAATTCTACCGTACCTAAATATTACATGTGTGTGTATATATTAAATACAATTATATATAATAAATATATATTATATATATTAAATATAAGTGTATGTGTGTGTGTATCTATATAAACTTTGGGTGGAGGTAAATGGGTAGGGCGGCATATTATGCTTGATGTCTGGCCCTGCCTGACATTTGGCATGCTCAAAAATGCGTATTTATTATTTGGAATTTTGGATTGCTTTTTTTAAAGTTGGACTGGACATAATTTCACTTTGAGTTGGCATTGGCGGTGTTCATCATACCTAGCTGCCCGGTGTGCCCGCCCGAGCCCGGAAAAATATTGGCCAGCCCGGCCCAAAATAAAGCAGCCCGGAAAAAAAAAAGTATCTTTGGGCTGGCCATCTAACGGGTTTGGCCCTGCCCGAATTATTAATATATATTTTCCAGTTAATATATTATAATTATATATCTCACTTCCGTTTGTTTTGTGTTCCCTTTTCCAGTTGCCCTGGCAGCCACTCTGGACCTCTCCCTTCTTCCTTCTCGCTGTGCACTCTCCGCCTCTCACTGCCGCTCATTCCGACAAGTAGAGCTCACTGTCGCTCAGTGGCTCAGTCCAGCAGCAACTCTTCGTCTCTCTCAGTCACTCACTCTGATAACTCTTCGACAAATAGAAACGCCAGGTCCACACAAATTCCCAGTTCGATTCCTCCTTCCTGGGTCCTACTTCCTTATCCTTCTAAGCTCATCAAATCGTCACTCAGAGTGCCACCCAACACACACACACACACTCCCTCACTGGTGATCTAAAGACAAAATATAGAGTGAGAGAGGAAGAAAAGGAAGACAGGGAGAAGAAGACGGAGAGGAAGAAGGAGAAGAAACCTCACTCAAAAACCTATTAATAAGCCAAGGTAAGTCCTTTAACCGCTCCCATCCTTATTTCATTCAACTGAGATGTTTTGGGGAGGAAGGTGTTGTTTACTATCTGATTTTAGTAAGAGAAAATGGTGTTGCATGTCATTAGAAAATGCCATTGTTTGGTGCTGTGCGAATTATGAGGGTTTATTATGTGAAGTTGGAATTCAGTTTTGTGTATGTGCTGTCGTTTTTTTTTCTTTCCTTGGAGTTACCTTGAGTGCCGAAAAACTAGAATAAGTAATGGGGATTTGTATTGCTGGTGGCGTGATGATATAAGCCTGATAGTTGGGTTCCAATTGTTGAAGCTTGGACTGATTATATTTTGCTTTTTTGGTGTTTGCAAACATTAAACAATTGTCTCAAAGAATTAAAGCATAAGCATGATTAAATTAAAGACTCTAGTATGATGGTTAGGATGGTATTTTTTATGCTGGAGAATTTTCTTATTTAAGAGGAAGTGCTGTTTGTTTTTGTTAGAAGTGCTTTAATGAGCATAATGGTATGATTTAGGAGGACTCAACTGTTTTCAGGCACAATAATATGACACGAGCATTAAATTACTAAATCATACACAACATACCCTTAGAGGTGTATATAAAGTGTTTGAATAACAATAGAAGTAAAATGCATAAACTCTTCCCTCTCCCCTGTTATGGACAGAATCGATCTTCTTGTTTGAAATAGTAGTCATGCTTATTTATGAACATTTTGTTATATTAACCCAAGACTTATGAAGAGGAAATGGATGCATAATGTAAAAGAAGCAATTGACAGAACTTATGAAGATTCGATTGTGATACTATGAGGGTATTACGGGTGAGGAAGTGAATGACATGTACTCTTCATGTGTTTATATCAATAAATAATATTCATGCGTAGAATTCTAATGGAATATTTGCTTTTGGTTGTAGTCACAAATTGTTTGCTGTTAATTCTAGTGCAATACATGCTGATTCTGGGAACATGCTGATATGGCTATGTAATTTGATTAACTTTAGAGTTCTTATCTTAGTAACAACTTATATTCTAATATATTGAATTATAATATTGTTTTATGTATTATTTTGTAGAAGCTTCATCCTTTTCTAGATAGTAATTTATTTGTGATTTATCTTTTTGAAGCAATGGATATGCAACAATCACAAGTATCGGATCATTTTGCTAAGTTACCATTGGAGGATACAAATGGAGACATTAGAGCTGGGTGTAACTATCATAATTCACATTTTACTTGTGACCGAATGAAGTATGACACGGTGTCTTTAAAGAGACACTTATCAAAATGTCCCAAGAATACACACAAACCGTAATACTTGATGTTATGTTATGATGAGTTAGATTTATCTTGATTAGTTGTTGAAAGTTATAATGCACTATGATCATGAATTGTAAGATGTTTTATTTATTGTTGCTTGATGTTGTTGGAGAATGTTATGGTGAATTGGTTTAATTTATTTATAGTTGTGATCAGATTCCCTTGCTTCAATAATTCTTAATGTTGGTAAGAATTATGTTATGGTTGTGATATTGGTTTTTTTTCCTTATGGCAAAAAATATGTTATAGAATGTCTTTTTTAGGTATAATTTGAGATATTTTTCACGCAGGGCAGGGCGTCACCACTTGGGCGAGGAAGTCCGCCCTGCCCAGCCCACCTTTGCCCTGCCCAAAATGGTTAGGGCTTTTATGGGCAGGGCCGAGCAGTGGGCTGCATTTTGCGGCCCCCTCATTATTCGGGCTGGGCATCGGGCAAGGGGCCTGCCGTGCCTAGTCCTGCCCATGAACACCCCTAGTTGGCATCGCGGGCTTTTAAGCTGCGCGATGAACACCCTACGCCCACCCAATAGGCTCACTCAGGCACACGCGCTCGCCTCGCCCCGCCTGACTCCGGCTCCCTCCCTAGTCTAGCAGCTCGACTCGAGCTGCGACCTCCGGCTTTCTCGTTATCGACTTCTCTGTCCATCTTGAGGTCCCTACTCTCTGCCTCTCGTTCTATAGTTCTCCCTCCCTCGTCGTCAAAGTTGAGGAATGAAGGCGCCGATCGTTCTTTGATTCTCTTCCTTCCTGTATCTCAAACTTGAAGTCCCTGCTGTCTGGTCTCTGCCTCTCATTCTCTATTCTTAGTCCACGCTCTCGACGTTCTTCCTTCCCCCACTACCAGTCGGCCATTCTGCTCTGCTCTCCTTCCCTCCTGACAACTGGCTGAGCTGAGGTAACTGTTATTTACTTATTTATTTAAGTCATTAACACTCTGCTCTGCTCTCCTTCCCTTTCAGTTATGTTTTGGCCGTTTGGGTATGATTGAAACGGATTAATAGAATTTATTTTTTTGGTTATGTTTGCTTGTTCTTGTAACTGTTGAATGGAAATATGAAATATGTTTTGCAATAATCATTATTAAAACAAAATGGGTGATGAGACAAATAAAAGAAAGAATGTTGACAATGTGCTAGGCGTAATTTTTTGAAGATGAGTCTGCTCCACCTGCATCTTCTGCGCCTGAACCAAATACAAGGCAAAGAGAAAAAAAAAAAAAACACACACACACACACACACACCACATCTGAAGTTTGGAAGTTTTCTTACTAAAAGCAATGTAGATGGCAAAGAAAAGGCTACATGTAATGGGTGTGGAAAAGTGTATTTAGTTGGAGGCAAGGATTATGGGACTTCAATCCTTCGGCACCATATTAATGTATGTATGTTACTCCAAAATAAAAGAACATTGGTGTCATGATGATAGGCCAAGTAGGGAATGTTAGATCTAGATAAATTGATCATAACAAGGTCCGAGATAAGATTGTTTTGCTATCATTAAACATGATCTTTCCTGTTCCTTTGCTGAGTATATGGAATTAGGGATTTACTCTTATATTTAAATCCTGATTATAAGAACATTACTAGAAAAACTGTTGTGGTGGATGTTTGGAATTTCTATCTTAGTCAAAAAGAGAACCTAAGGAAGACATTAGTGAACAGTCCATGTAGAGTGTGTTTGACTTCTGACTATTGCATCTCAATAACTGGTGAAGGTTATCTTTGCTTGACTGCTCATTTTGTTGATAACAAATGGAAACTTAATGGCAAAATACTTCCATCCTTGAAGATGGGTCCTCCTCCCTCTGGGGTTGAATTGGCTAAAAGGATGCATGATATATTGAGGGACTGGGGGATTGATAAAGAAGTATTTTCTACATCTCGATAATGCTTCAGCACCTAAAGTCATGCTCAAAACACAAATGGTAGCTTCATTTAAATTAGGTTAAATAAACCTATGAATCCTACAATAACATGTAATTAAAACTCTTACATTTCAGTGATTTTAGCATAAGAGCAATCACATTTAGGAATATGTTAGAGAGCATGCCAGAGGTAACCATAAATATTTTTTTCTTAAATACAATAAATATCACCAGACAGGCTTCCAAATGTTCCAAAATCTCTCTTTCAAGTTTAAAAAAACTTGCATAAATCAGTACTACCAATCAGGTCTCAAGCCAAATATTAAGACAAATAGCATTCGCTTAAATTTAAGTGGAAAACACACCCTTTTAAATTTAACAATATTTCCACGTTCAAATAAAGGAAGCCTGCTCAGTCTTTGGTGAGCAAGGCCTAAAGCCTAGCATGATATAATTGTATAGTAATGTAGTTTAAATTAACTAATAATATGCCTAAATCCTAGTAAAAAATTTCATCTAATTTTGCCATATCTAACCCAACCCAGCCGGACAGGATTTATTCCTAGCTTTGTTTCTAGCAAGAGGAGTTGGGGGAAAATACAAGAAGCATAAGCAAATTCATACTTCCAAGTTTTTTATCTGAGGCATATAATTAACGGAGTTTATTATAGTCAAGAACTAAAATAAAACTAAATTGTTGTTTAGAACCTAAAACTTTTCTTGACAATGAAGGTGGTCAACCTGAATGAATACAACTAAAGTTGCATAGGCCTTGCTCACCAAAGACAGGTCAAGCTTGCGTTATTTGAAGGTGGAAATATCTCCAACACTGATTAAGTTACTAGGGTGTGTTTGTCTATTTCTAAGTTGTTCACATCTATTCTTTTATGTCAGGAGCTTATTCTAGGCAGAAGATTTCCCCCCCTTAAATTTGCTTTCTTACTTCTCGAGCATTGAAAGTAAAATTAGCAAAGGCTATTTGTCTTGGTCTTTGGCCTATGACATGGTTGGTAGTACTGATTTAGTCAAGTTTGTTGATGCTTGAAAGAGAAATTTTGGGGCATTTGGAAGCCTGTCTGCTGATATTTATTGTATTTTTTTTTTTTTAAAAAAAAAATCCATGGTTACCTCTGCCATGCTCTCTAACATATTCTTAATGTGATTGCACTCATGCCAAAAATCATGGAAATGTAAGAGCTTTTATTACATGTTATTGTAGGATTCATAGGTTTATTTAACCTGATTTAAATGATGCTACCGTTTGTGTTTTGAGCATGACTTTATTTTTATTTAACAAAAACATGAGGAAGTTGAGCATCATTGATTTATCAAAACTGTACGCAGGTGTGCAAATACATACACAAACAGGGGTTGAAAATATGGAGAAGCAAACCTACACACATCAACATTTAATTAACCCCAACCCTATCTAATAGGTGCCCAAAAAAACGTTCACTAGTTGTGATTGGATTCTTGACCACACTCCCCCTCAAGTAGTTGTATTGTAAATATTTTATGTCCAGCTTGCTTATGCAATTTTCAAAGCTTTGTCTTGAGAGCCCCTTGGTGAGAACATAAGAACTTTTCTCTTTGGTTATGACATTTTGACACATATTTGATATCTAGTTGGAATTACTCATGTTTATGCTTGATTTTCATCTGTGACGCCTTATTTATGTGTGCATCTGTGATGGAACTGATTGTATTGTATGAAACTGCTATACTGATATAGTACTCAAATTGTAATAACTTAGTTTGTGTCCTTATAAAGGAGAAAATATGTTACTGAGTTTGAGATGGCATTGCTTATATGAGTTCATAATTTTGGTTGGTATTGTCTGTTGAGAGTTTTGGAGAAGTATAGGGTAGTTGTGCACAGCATCTTTTTGGTCATGAATCTTACATGACTTTTTTGCACAATTTGATTTTCAGGGTAACTTCTAAACATTATCCATGAAGCTCTATGATGGATTTATGGAGATATTGAAGATTCAGAAGTTCCGGAGATTGGTGTCTTACGCTGGGTTCTACAGCTTTGTTGCAGTTCTGAGTTATGCTTACACTGGCAATACGTGGGTTAAATGATTTTGAAAATTGATTATAAATGCTGGCACTGGTATGAGGTTGTTTCTGATATTAATCTCAAGCTTGTCAATATATGTCTTTGATTTGCAGAACAAGGGCTGGTTATTCCAGGGCTGATCAATTTTATGCATCTTATCCCGCTGGAACTGAGCTTTTAACAGATACCACTAAGGTAATTAGCTGTCCGCCTTTAAATTGGAAAGGAATATATTTGTCTGATATCATTTCAGTCAGGTGCTGATAGTTTATTGAATCTATTTTTAGTTATACAAAGCAGCCCTGGGAAATTGCTTTGAAGCTGAGGAGTGGGGTCCAATTGAGTTCTGCATAATGGCAAAACACTTTGAGCGTCAAGGAAATTCAGCATACGCGTACCATGCAGTAAGTTATACAATGCCTATATTTGTTTCTGTTACTGATGTGGAGATAATTTTCATTTTTAATGGAGCTACGTTTTTATTTTTGGGCAGGAAAAAGATTGATGTTATTATTCGTTCATCTTAATCCACCATCTCCATTCAAAAAAGAAATTAAATTTTGTACACTTGGTTACGGTTCGAATCGTGGGATTTGGTTTTTATTTATAGGTCTAAATGTAGCCACCACCCAAAAAGATCCGGACTATATCACAAAATTTGTAGTTAAGATCATAGTGGCAGAAATATTAGAGAATTGCACTCAAATCACGACCCTTGCCTTTTTCCTTTTTTCTTTTCCTTTTTTTTTTTGGGGGGGGGGTTGTGTGGTTATGAGGAATTTAACATATTTTCTTTCTTGTTTTATTGAAGTGATTTTTTAGCGGCCTGGAAGAAGGAATGAGATTTTGTGCTCATACCTTTTCAGTAAAAGGGATACCAAATCTTTGGCTTGACCAAACTTGAGCAGCTAATGTTAAACCATAATTTCAAGCAAGCTTTGGCTAAAAAGAAAAAAAATTTAAAGCAAGCGTTTCCATCCCCCCCCCCCAAATTTCTTCCTCTCTTCCTCTTCTGTTCTTCAGAAAAGTTGCCTGTGGAACCATTTATGATGATTGAAAGTAAATTCTTTCATATTTCAACTTCAATGACACCTTGAAATATGCTCAAAAGCTCGTTCCCCCCTCTTTCTGTAAAAACCAGTATGAGAATGTGAGATTTGAAAACTCCAGCATGTCAGCCTCTCTCTCTCTTTGCCTTATTATTTTAACAATCTTAACCCCCCCCCCCCCCAACCCCAACCCCAACCCCCCCCCACACACAACCAACCCATTTTGCCATTTTGGGGTATGGAACCTACAACTTTCTCCATAAGAGGAGGTGTGGGGTGCCACGTGAGCTACAAGCTCTTGGCATGTAAGCCTTCTCTCAAATAAAATGTTCAGTGTCAACAGCTCTTCTCTTTTTGAACCTTTTTATTTATTTAATATATTCTTTTGTGTCTGAATTATCGCAGCAATACACGGCACACCTCCTCTCCCTTGGGCAACTTGATGGAAGTGGCTAGCTGGTGAGGTAGATGTCTTGATGACACATGAAGAAGTTACTAGCTAGCAAGTAAATGCAATAGAGAATGAGGTTCGATTGCTTGATATGAGTTTTATGCTTGAAATGCTAGAACTTTATATTTTAACAATAAAAACGAAAGAAAACACAATGCTGTAAATGCTGCATGTCTTATTTTCCTTGTTTGCTTAGCAAATATGTGGTTTAGTTTCCACTTCCGAATAATATCTGTTGGCTCGATATATTTTCATCATATCAATGCCTAAAGATCGTTTGCCTTGGAGTGGTTAAATGTATCTGTTTGGCTCAATATTTTTGAGATCATATAAATGGTTCATTGTGTGATACTTGGTAGATCTTCGTTTGGAATCAGGTAAAAAGTATATTTAATCTAGTTCTTAGATCTAGGCTCTTAAGATGATAATTGAAAATTTAATAAGTGAATGTGAAATATTCTACATGCCCTAATCTTGTAAAAAGTGGGGAATAAGTTTCTCTGCCACCAAAGGGTGTAGGCAATGATTAGCATCTTCAAGATTGTAAGGGAGAATGATATTTGAGTTCCTTGTGAGCGAGTTATTGATATTTTGATCTTTTGAAATAATGACCATTTTAAGCTTAACCGCTATGATACACTGTTAAGGGAAATGTTAATGGTTTCCTTATTAGAGACTCCAATGTCATTCTCCCTTGTATATATGAAATGATGATTGGACTTAGTTGGAACTGCTTACACAAAATTCCTTTTATATATTTACATTTATCTTGTATTTTATAAATTATTTTTGAGAGATCGTGCTATCATGCCAAATAAACACAATGTCACTCTCATAATTTGCATCCTAATTTTCCATCTAACAATTGTTTATTGTACTCATTATTCACCAATGAGCCTAGTTCCTATAATCCAAGCGGCTATCTTATAGTCTTGGTGATTACTGGTGTTCTCTTGTTGACTTTGTCATCATTTTAATTGCTTTGTTCTTCAATTTATCTATTCCCTCAATTTTTCTACATAATATATATATAACTATGTCAATTGGACCAATGAGAGTTTTCGTTTAGACTTTGGAGCTTTAAAACATGTCCAAAATCACTTCATTTGAACAGAGGTGAATCAACCTAGGGAAGAAATATGAAACCCACAGGGACAAGACAGCAAGTTTATTTTGAAAATAAACTGAGTTGGCTTGATGAAAGTTCTCTTTATTATTGGCTAAAATATATTTTAACTTTACACAATGTTTTAATGTATGGTAGTTTTTTAACTTTAAAAGTATTTTTAGTGTTTTAACTTTAAAATTGTTAATAAAAAATGATGATATTGTGATTTTAAATATGGCTAAAACAATCTTAAATGTTAACATAATAAATTTAATTTTTAAAACAATTATAATTTTTATAAAAAATTATTATTTAAGACTAATAATTTTAGGATTAAACGATTAAATTTTTTTTTTTATGTTAATGAACCCAATTAAAATTTCGTGTAAAGTTAAAAATTAAACTTGTATTGTTGTTTTTATCAATTAAATTACATAGAGGATTTCTAAAATTTTAACATGAGAAAAGAACCAACATAATCCAAGCTTTGCTAAAATAAGTTATAAATTTTTAAAACTTAACCCAAAATCTTGAAATGACCATAAGAACAATAATCCAAGGTTGACGTGTCACTTTTCCAAGATTTTAAAACCTTATCTTTAATTGGCGCTATTTAAACCTAATGTAGCTTCCATTGCCAGACAATGGTTCTTAAAACGACATATTGCAAATTTGCAATATATATATCTAAATAAATATCTTAATACAAATAAATGCATATATTACTAACAACTAACGCTAGATACCTCACTGTATCATCATCAACTAACAATCGACATATTGCAAATTTGCAATATATATATCTAAATAAATATCTTAATATAAATAAATGCATATATTACTAACAACTAACGCTAGATACCTCACTGTATCATCATCAACTAACAATCGAATCATATTATGAGATGAACTAGCTTTATGAGTAAGATATTACTTTCCTTTGGTTATACTTACAGTAACAAAAACTTTATCTTATTTTCAAAACGTATACTTCAGTTTTTTTTTTTTCTTCCGGGCATAAACTCAGAGTCTCTCCAAATCATTTTGAACTTGAAACTACCTTTGTTGGATCGAGAGTGTTAAGGCTAAAATCTTCCTAATAAATACATTTTCCTCTATTGATTTTATTAAAAATTCTAAAACGGTTAATTTTATTAATTGGATTTATGTTAAAAATTTAATATTAATTTCTTTCTTCAGTTCAAAGCACTCCAAATGATTATGATTATATTTAAATAAATGCTTTTCTAAAAAAATATTAGAATTAATGAACATAAATTATGTTAACTAATTTATACCCCATTATATTAAATAGTCTCAATAAGTTTTTTTACATACATGTTTAAAATATTATTTTAATTTTAACTCAAGGTGTGCAAAACTAAACTTTATTAAACACCGAACTGAGGTGGACTCATTGTTGGTTTTTCACTTCTACCATTTTGGTTTTTGGTTAAAGATTCAGCTTCTACCTTTTGACAAGTAACTTTTGTGATGGATTTCGGGCATATTTGGAGTGTCTCAAGTCTCTTTAGATAGCCACGCAGGATCCGGTCACAACTGCGAACTCGGATTGGTGTTACACAGCAAATACATCAGTGTGGAGAGGAAGAACACAGAGAACAAGAAAAAGAGAAGAGGAAGCGGGAGAGGTTCTATTTTAGTTTTTTTCTTATGAATGTGATAAAATCAACTCCCCCTCTATATACCGTTCGGCAATAACTGTTTCATCCTATCTCAAATTGCAATTGTAAACAATATGGGGAAAATTGCAATTGTTGACCCAAATATTCTGTTATTTGTACCAGAATCTCAAAATTAATAGGTTTGGATCCAATCTACCAAAGGTGGACTGGCCCATTTTCTTACATTTCCCACTCACACTTGGTGGATTAGATGTCCCGGGTCTCATCTCTGTCTCCCCTCAATTTTATACTTAGTGCTTTGCCGTGACCATGTGGGCATATTTTATTAACGAGGTTTACAAATTACACTTTACATATGCCAAGGGCTTGCACATGCTCTTTAAAAACTTTTTCGTCTATTGGCTTTGTCAGAGGATCTGCTATCATACATTTGGTTAAAATGTACTATACAGTAACAATCTTTTGTGCTATATAATCTCTAACAAAATTATACTTGATGTCAATGTGTTTGGTTTTGCTGTGATACTTAGGATCTTTAGTATAGGCTATGGCTGCAGTATTGTCACAGTATACCATCACCGGATTGGTACTCTTGTTTTCAAATCCAAGGTGTTCTATAAATCTCTTTAGCCATAAAGCCTCTTGCATTGCTGCGGTGCATGCCATAAACTTAGCTTCCATTGAATGTAAGGTAATACACGTTTGCCTCTTGCTACTCCAACATATGGCGCCATTGTTGAGCAAGAAGGTATAACCTGAAGTTGACCTTCATTTTTCTTCATCTCCGCCTATATCTGCATTGGAGTACCTAACAAGGCATAGGTTGCTTCCTTCGTAGCATAGTGTATAATTGGAGGTGCCCTTTAAGTATCTCAAGATCCTCTTCACTGCTTTCCAATGCTTTTCATCGGGGTTAGACTAAAATTTGTTTACCAGTCCCACTGCATAACAGATGTTTGGTCTTGTACACATCATTGCGTACATTAGACTGCCAACAGTATTGGCATATGAACTCTTTCCATCTTCTTTTTGTCAAACTTGGTTTTGGGACACATGTCAGGACTCAAGGCCACTCCAGTAGCAACTGGGGTACTCATGGGATTGCAGTCTTTCATGTTGAATCGCTCAAGAATCTTGTTGATGTAATTCTCTTGTGAAAGAGAGAGGATTTGTTTTGAGCGATTTCTTTGGATCTTAACTCTAAGTATATACTCTGCTTCACCCATATCTTTCATTTCAAAATTCGACGAAAGCCATTCTTTAATAGCCACCACCGAATCTAGACTATTTTCGGCTAATAGTATATCGTCTACATATAAGAATAATATGACAAAATTACCCTCAAACCGCTTAATGTAGATGCAGTGGTCTTCCTCTATCATCTAGAAGTCATATGAGGTTATTGCTTTGTGAAACCTCAAATGACACTGTCTGGATGATTGTTTCAATCCATAAATGGACCTTTTGAGCTTACAAACTTTATTTTCCTTTCCTTTTCTGATGAAACCTAATGGTTGTTCCATATAGATTTCTTCATCCAGATCACCATTTAGGAATGCGGTTTTTACATCCATCTGATGTAATTTTAGGTCTAAGCTGTTTACTATTGCCAGAATAAGTCTAATAGAGTTGAAACACACAATAGGTGAGAACGTATTTTCATAATCTATGCCTTCTTATTGTGTGTAGCCCTTTGTCACTAATCGAGCCTTGTATTTGTCAATTGATCCATCCACTTTTCTTTTAATCTTAAGAGCCCACTTGTTCCCAATGGCTTTACGCCCTTTTGGAAGATCAACTAACACCCAAACTTTATTCTTTTTCATTGAGTCCATTTCTTCTTCCATAGCTTTCATCCATTCATCCTTGGCAGGACTTGACAAGGCTTCTTGTACAGAACGGGGCTCATCATCCCCTCCTGGAGTAACTAAGAAAGATTCGCCTTCAATTTGAAAGCATCTTTTGGGAATACCTTACCTGTTACTCCTTCTGACGAGAGCTATTTGCTTTTCTTTCTTTCTTTCTTTGTTCAGGTCTCGGTGTTGACCTTTCTTTTCTCCCACTCAAATTGACACACCTAGACGATTCTGGTTTATCAATTTGTTCTGCACTGTCTTGTTCCTGTGTCTCATAAAGAGAAATAGTATGGTCAACATCTCCTCTATTAGGAAATTCAGTCTCAATGAATGTTACATCCCTTGATTCTATTTCAGTCACTGTTCCATCTTTGTTTTCACCTATGAAAACGTATCCCTTTGATTGTTCAGAGTACCTTATGAAGATACATTTCTTTCCTCTGGGACCCAACTTCCCATGCTTATGAGAAGTGTCATGGACATACGCCGCTGACCCCCAAGGCCTCAAGATGCTTAGATCTGGTTTGCGTTTTGTCCATAACTCGTAGGGTGTGGAAGCAACTGATTTTGAGGGTACACGGTGAAGTATGAAGGTCGCCGTTAACAAAGCATCACCCCAATACCTGCCTTGAGCCATCATAGACCTAACTATGTCTAAAAGAGTTCTGTTTCTTCTTTCAGTAACTCCATTTTGTTGTGGAGTGCCAGGAATAGTCAGTTGTCT